ATTTAATAATGAATGAGTGGAAGCAATGTTACTTTACTGTATTGGAAAGCAATAAAATAATTGTGCTTTGAAAAAGATATAATTCAGATAAACATTTCTGAAATAAAAAAAAATCTGTTTATGTGGTATGGAAAATATATTGCTTATGTCAGCAAAAACTGAACAAGAATAGTCAAAAAAGATGTTACTGGACTTCAATAATTTTAGGAAGGAAAGAGGGAGGAAGGGAAAAGAAAATTATTTGGACATTCAGATAAAAAGATCTTGCCATATGAATCTAACATACATTAGAAAATAAATTGGTTCAACCTCAGAATCCCCCACAGCAATACTCAATGTGAGAAAATAGCAGAGTAATACAAAATCATTTTTAAAAGAGAAAGGGCTGTCCCAAGCACTCATACTTTGCAGTCTTAGCCTTGGGTTGCTGAGTTTCCAGACTCTTTATCGGAGACAAAAGTTTAATCAAGTGCAAATATTAGATTCCCGTGGCTGTTGTAACAAATTTCTATAAACTTGGTGGCTTAAAATACTGGAAACTTATTCTCTTGTAAGGGAGAATTTGTTCCTTGCCTCTTGCAGTTTCTGGTGGCTGCAGCATTCCTTGACTTGTGGCTGCATCACTACAATCTTGGTTTCTGCAGTCACACTGCTTTATCTTCTGTGTGCAAGCTGTCTTTTCAAGTCTCTTTTTAGAACACTTGAGACTGCATAAAGGGCCTGACCAGATACTCAATCACAATCAACCCATCTCAAAATCCTTAACTTAATCACACCTGCAAAGCCCCCTTTCCAATATAGTATAGCATGAGTGGGTTCCACATATATTGAATTAATTAAGAAAAGGAATTGCAAGAGACTTTTCTCAATTTAATGAGGACAAACGTGAAAACTAAAACAACATCGATAGTATTCCAGACGTGTATAATTTATCAAAACTATTTCCAACAGAAAATTTAAGCAGATTTCCAAAATACAAATAAAGAAAGGTGCCAAGAACCATCCTCCCTCCCCATGATAAAGTGCCTGGACTACACAATTTCACAAGGAAATCTTAGCAAAACTTTTTAAAAGCAGTTGAGTCTAACGGTACTTGAATTGCTCCAGGGTACAGAGAAGAAGAAACACTTCTAAATTTTTTTGTGAAGCAGGCAATGCTAGTGATCCCCCAAATCAACAAAGATTGCACAAAAAGAAAAATACCAGTCACTTTTCAAAGGTTCACTAAAATGCACTGATAATTCAATATTAGGATTTATGGAAATAAAGACACTCATTGTATTTAAACAAAAAGCAGAAGATACAAGACAAGGAAAAATGTCTTCATTTTCAATAACAACACAAAAGATAAAATGTCTGAAAGGAAATGTGTGAAACCATTATGAAAAAAGTTTACAAAATTCTATGCAGGAATACAAAATAAAATATGAACAAAAGCAAATATTCCATGTCCTCACATGACTTAATATCATAAAGACGTCCATTCTTCCTAAATTAACCTACAGTTTTATATGCCTAATAAAGTTGTCAACAACATTTTGTTAGAATAATCAATAAAGTCAAAAGTTCATGTGTAAAAAATAAACAGTGAAAGTAGCCAAGAAAAATCTAGAATATATGATAATAGAAACCAGTCTTCAAGTATTCTTTAATTACTGACGGATATTCAGTAATTAAAGTAGTGTTATACAGATACATGAGCAAACAGGTAGATCACGGAACAGAAAAGGAAATCCATAGTTGGGTAATGGTGGGTCATTTAATAAACAGTCTTTGAATAACTGGGTGGCTTCCGAAGGGAAGAGAAAATATGATTCTATTCCTGACATCTAATAACAGAATAAATTACAAAAGTGTTAAAGTTTCAAGTGCTAAAAAATTTAAAGTGTGAGGAGAAGCCATACAAGGTGGAAGGACTTTATATAATTATGACATGAAACCCAGAAGCTATAAAATGAAGGACTGACAAATTCAATTACATGTTTAAAAGTGTGCATGTTAAAAATAAAGCAAGCGAAATCAAAAGACAAATATAAAATTGAGAGAAAAATATGTGAACTTAAAATCCAGACAAAAGGTTAACCACGCTAATGTGTAGAATTCCTAGAAATCAATGAGAAAAAGACATTTTGATGGAAATGGACAAAAGCTGTCAGTCCACTGAAAAGAGAATATGAATTCTAAACATACATTAAGAAACTTGCTCATAGCCAGGCGCTGGTGGCTCACTCCTGTCATCCTAGCTACTCAGGAGGCAGAGATCAGGAGGATCACAGTTTGAAGCCAGCCAGGGCAAGTAGTTCGGGAAACCCTATCTCAAAAAAAAACCATCACAGAAAAGGGCTGGTGGAATGGCTTAAGATAAGCCTTGAGTTCAAGCCCCAGTATCACAAAAAAAAAGAGAGAGAGAGAAACTTACTCATAATAAGAAAAGGAAAACTGACCAAACCATTTTTCACTTATTAGGAGAGATCAAAGTTCAAAAATTCATTGTTTTAGAGGAAAGTCTTCTCATACTTGTTGTCAAGAGGGTAAATTGGTAAAATTTCTATGGAGGGCAATTTAGTAATATCCAAGCTTATAAATTGCATACCCTTATAGGAAAATAGTCTAAGATACATGCGTAATTTTGTGATGTGATGTATGCACAAAGTTATTTATTTTGGCACTATCTGTAAGAGTAAAAGCAGCTTAAATGTCCATTAATATATCCCATGTGAGTCCAATCATATACAGTAAGTGTAGCATTTCCATAAAATGGGATAGTATAAAGCCATACAAAAACATGAAGTTCTTTACATGCTAACTGATATGCAATGATCTTAAAAAAATCTTTGAAGAAGAGAATAGACAAGAAACCTGCTGACATCCTGAAAAGTCAAACCAGAAACTGGTAACACTTTTGCTAGGGAAGAGGTCAGGGGTGGCTGGTGAACAGATGTGTTACTTACTTATTACAGTTCTGGGGACTGAACACAGGGCATCATGCTTTAGGCAAATGTATTTCCAGTTCAGCCATGCTTCCAGCACTTTTGCTTTTAGTTTACTTTTCAGATAAGGTCTCTGATTCAAGTGCTGGTTTTGAACATTGATCCTCCTACCTCTGCCTCCTAATTTGTAGGGATTATAGCCTTGAGTTGCTACTCCTGACTCTTACCTTACTCTGTTACTTATACCTATATAGTAATATTAGCATATTACCATATAATATAATTTATAATGATAAACATGCATAAATGCTACCATGTGTTCAACCTTTTTTATCTGTAGGGGTGTTTAATTTTTTATTGTTTATACATTTACTCATTTCTCAATTTGTTCACTGTTGGTGTATAGAAAGGCTACTGATTTTTGTAAGTTGATTTTGTATCCTGCTACATTGTGGAAGCTGTTTATGGTGTCTAGGAGTTTTTGGGTAGAGTTTTTTGGGTCTTTGAGGTATAGGATCATGTCATCTGTAAATAGGGATACTTTGATAGTTTCTTTATCTATTTGTATTTCTTTTATTGAAATGCTTGGCAACCACTAACAAGTGATTTTTCCCATGTAAATAAGAGCAAATTACACACTATATAGAATGTTGTATCAAACCTAGTGAGAAGCAGTAGCCATAAATTATAAATTGAATTTATTTAGTAGGGCACTCAGCACAGTGCTATTAGAAGAGAGATTCCTAATAATAGGATTTTTATTCAGGAAAAAAAGTTAGAGAACACCTGGTCTAAATCTCATTACACATAAGGTAACTGAGAACAAGAGAGAATAAGTATTATTCTCTGTGTTACATGGTTAGCTTATAGGTATAGGTATAGAGCATGAATTTCCCAAACCTTTGTTTTACTAATATACAACATATGGTGACATATACCTGTCTAGGTATAGAAAATGCACACACTTATAGAGACAAATATATATTTTGAGGGTCTTTGAAATTAAGTTGCAAGACAACCCAGTATTCTCACTATTCTATTTTAATCTATTTATCGTGCCTTTATCTTTGTCTTTTTTCAGCCTCTGCAAAAACCATATTCAATTTTAGAAAGTGAAATAATGAATTTTTTAACATGTAATTTTTTAAGCTAATTCAAAGAAGAAAAGCTTAAACCTGTAGTCTGTTTTTTATTCACTTCCTGTAAGAGAAACCACTTCTGAACTTAAATGCCCTTCTCAGTAATCCTCCAGGACTACCCAGCACAAGCAATGTACCCAAAGAAAATGAAAAGTGAAAAAGTTGGGAGTGAATGATATACAAGTTGACTTGCCAAGATGCATCAGAATTAAAAGGTTATTGTTAAAGGATGACAAAAATGTAAATCTGCAAGAACACATCTTACAGTAACTCCTCAAATCTGTTATGACCTAATTTTGCATTAAATTTTCTTCAAGACTCTTAAGGAAAAAATCCCATGAATATGAGAAAATTGGGAGCACGTCTTTAAGAAACAAAATAACGAGAAATTTAAAGTATGTATCCAGGTAACTCAAACCAGTTTTTAATACCTTGATCATTTTTATGTATTTCTTTCAGAATAGGTTCAGGTATAGAGTTTAAAAGATTTAACTTTGTATCTGCAGACATTGGTTTCAACTATGACTATGGCACTTAATAGTTTTGTCATATATTGAGAACACTGTATCCGTTGCACTGATTAAGAATAAATAAAACTTAACCATTGATTCACACCTCTCAGACAGTGAGATGACATAAGGCCTCACAGTTTGTGTTAGACAATAAACTTAAGAGACTCAGAATTCTCCTCGAAGGAGACTGAAAGTTGAGGGTTAGGGTTAACTACGCCAGAATTTTTAAAATAATAAGGGGTGGGGCAGATAGGATCTTTGGTTGTTGCTACAAAAATCCACCTCAGCAATTTCGCCTCTCTTCCCGTTCAAAAGCAGAAGACAACTACATTTCCCAGCGGCCCTCACGCTTCTTCCGGCTCGGTGCGCCAGCGCTCGGCTTTCCGGCGCCCTTTTTACGTCAGTTCGAACCTAAGGTTCTGACAGCGAGGACGCATCCCGGAACATGGGTTCTTCATTGTCCGGGCCTTTTGAGCCTCTCAAGGTCGCTGAACCTCCCGAAGGCTCCGTCTCTGCCAACTCTGCTCCCCAAGATACATCCGAAGAGCGTCCCGCGCAAGCACCCATATTTAATAACTGCTGGAGTTGTCGCTTGCTCTCCGGGTCGGGACTGATAGGGGCGGGTACTTACGTGTACTTGGTGGCACGGAGGCCCATGAAGCTGGGATACGCCCCAGGTCCAGGAGCTATTGCGCAGATGGTCATCGGCATCAGTGAGAGCCGGGCACAACCACTTGGGCTGGGGTAGTGGAGGGAAACGGAGCTGCCAAGTGTCGGGGACGGGCGCTCGCTCGGGCTGTTCTCATGGGGGTGGGGCGGGCACTTCTACCCCTGAGCGGGGCGAGGGTACAGGAAGTTGTTGAAATACCTCTTTAAAAAAAAAATGACAGTGTTTTCTGGAAGTCCTTACCAAGGTCAGTTTTTTAAATTCTACGGTTAAGTATTGTAGTATTTCTATTTTACTGATGAGCACACTGTGGCAAAGAGAAGTAGATGAGACAGGAAGTGACAGAGTTAGCTTTTGATTCCGGATTTAAACAGCCCCAAAGCCCACGCTTGTTCTCTAGATCCTGGAGAAAACCTGAAGAATATTTGTTTTTGGTTCAAGACATTTGAGGCAACACCTATAACCCCAGCTACTCAGTAGAATGAAGGAGGAGGATTTCATTTCCAGCCCAACCAGGGCAAAAATGTTAGCATGACCATATGTCAACAAGGTTGGCGTGGTAAAGGCACATCTGTAATCCCAGCTACTTGGGAGACAAGGGTAGAGGGATTCAGGGTTCAAGGCCACCTGAGCAAAAGCATGAGAGTGTGTGTGAAAAATATACCAAAGCAAAGAAGGGGTTGTTGATTCTTTGATAGAGGGTTCAAGCCCGAGGCTTAGAGTTCAAATCCTAATGCTGACTTTAAAAAAAGAAAAAAATACAAAATGAGATTTTAGATGTGGGTTCCAAACCCGTGTACTTGGTGTACCACTGAATGATGCCCAACTAAGTGATTGTCAGTATGTCTTCCACTAAAATATTGTGATCCTTTTTGCTTTTCAAGCCTGTTGTCTGAATGAATGGGATTTTAGGTTGTCAGATTTCTAGTATTTCTCCTTCTCCTTTCTTTCCTTTCTTCTCTTTCTCTTTCCTGAGTTACACCATCCTATAAGAAAGATACAATGATAATATATCCTCCAGAAATGTTGTGAGGGTTAAATAAGATAGAATATATTGGTAAACTAAAATGCAATATATAAGTACTGTTGTTTTTTCCTAGGCATTGCCTGTTGGGGAGTTGTTATCCTGGCAGACCCCAAAGGAAAGGCCTACCGCGTTGTTTGAAAGTGCCACCAGTGAATTTGTTGTCTCCTGTCCTTGGTTCCATGACACACACAGCAAGTGAAGGATTTGTGGAGGTTCTGGACAGCCAGGTGGACATGGATAGGCTTCACTATTGCGGATACTACAAGCCTGGACACGGATAGACTTCACTATTGTGAATACTACAAGACTGAAAACATTGGTTGCCATTCTTTATCTATGAGGATTTGTAGTTTTGTTTCACAGATTACATGGAACCAATAAATTTTTTGGAGAAGAAACAAGTTCTGTGCCTTACATAGGAAAGGAATGAATAATTTAAATTATACTTATATATAACTTAATTAAATTTTTTTAAATACTAAAATGGAGAAAGCTAAACCAATTGGAAAATGAGCTGTTTTATTTTATTATAAAGTTATTTTTATTTCTCCCACAATTGAATCAACACCTCCTAGCAACCTAGCTCTGGATAGGCACATGAAACTCGATCTGAGTACTGCTCATACCTTTCAAGGCATTTTCAAATCTATCACCTCATGAGAGCTTCACAGCTAGTCTGATTTGTTATTTCATTGGCAACCTTAAAACAGGAGTCCAAGTGATTTGCTAGGGGTCATTCAGAAGTCATTGATGGAGCTAGTACTTGCCTACTTCTTTTAGTCTTTCAGATCTAAGATGGTTCCAAGACAGCAAGAACTACCATTATGAAACAAATGTAAAAAAAATGCAATAAGACTTATGTACAAGACAGTTAAAATAAATTCAAGGCCTTTAGTAAAATGAGCAGTCTTCATTTTCACAGCCATTAGAAATATTTTTGTGATGTAACAGATGCTTTTTGGGATAAGAACTCAATTTATTCATAACAGAAATCTATGTTTGCTATCGTTTTTCTGTAAAATACTGTAGTTTCTCTGTAAAGGTATCTATCCATTCTTTCAAAGCAACAAAAGTACTATTAAATTCAGTTACTGGTCATAGTAAGTTTTGCATTACATGTTGAGCGAGTAGTACCTTTAAAGCTATTTGTGTAGTATGTAGAAGTGCCTTAGTAGGCCTCATAGATAAGTAAGGACTCTTGTAGTATGTACATTAAACTCATATTATAATTCGTGTTCTAATTGTGCAATTGACATGAAAGTATTTTAACCTCAAATTAGACAAAAAGATGTTTACATGAAATATACAATTCAGTTATGTGATGTTAATTAATGTAAAAGTTTTAGGTTGGGGGATGATAAACATCCCAAAACAGGTCATTCATGGTCACTCACCCCTAAAATACCTATGAAGAAAAGTTTGTCCCTACTTTAGGAAGTATGGGCATCTGTGGGCTGAGCATTTTCTTAGGTAAGCTAAAAACATGTAAGTAAGGATAACATTAATGGTCTTGACTTGACCTACTAGAGAAACAAAAATTTATGTACAGGCCTATATAGGAGGTTTGGGGGGATTCTGGTCTAGCCACTGTAATAGAGTAGATTATGGATTTTTAGTATTATGCACACAGGCTTTATGGTTATAATGAAATCCACCAAACTTTGGAAAAGGGAAGGAGAAGTAAAGGAATATAGAGGAGGGCAGGAATGTGTTCAAAGAACACTGCATGCATCTATGGAATTATAATGAAAATCCCTTGCACTATCAAAATATCCAAATCTAAAAGATTTATGAATATTTAAAAGTTATGCTTACACTATGTCGTTATTAGTGTATGATAGCAAATGAAAAATGTGTATACCCTAATTTAAAGTATTATTGCCAGAAGTGATTATGATCATCTCAGAACTCGGCGAGTCATAATCTTTGCTGGTTGAAGGTCTTGCCTTAGTGTTGGCGACTGCTAACTGATCAGGATGATAGTTGTTGAAAGCTGGGGTGGCTGTAGCATTTCCTTAAAATGATTAAAATAAAGTTTACCACATTAATTGTTCCTTTCACAAAAAATTTTTCTTTAGTATGCAATGCTGTTGAAAACATCTTACGTAGAGTAGAACTTCAAAGTTGAAGTCAGTCCTCTCAACTGCAGTTGTTCTGTCAATTTAAGTTGAAGTAAAAGTCTGAATCTTTTTTTTGTCATTTGAACTAAGTTCATAGCATCTTCACCAGGAGTAGATTCCATCTCAAGTGATCACTTTTTTGCTCATCCATAAGGAGCAACTCCTCATCCATTGAAACTTTTGTAATGAAATTGAAATGATTTATCCACATTTAGAGGCTGTGCTTCTAATGGTGCTTCTCTTGCTATTTTCAAAACATTGGCGGTCACTTCCTCTACTGAAGTCTTAAGCCCCTCCAAAGTCATTGAAAGGTGTGGAACAAACTTCTTCCAAACTCTTGTTAATACTACTGTTTTGGTTTCATGAATCACAAATGTTCTTAGTGGCATCTAGGAACAGTGATCCTCACAGAAGATTCTCAATTTAATTTGTCCAGATTCATTAGAGGACTTTGCCCTCATGAATGAATCTCCTAAGTAGTAAGAGTCGAAAGTCAAAATTACTCCTTGAAGCCTGGCTGCAGAATGGATATTTTGTTAGCAGATGTGAAAGCCTCAATCTTACACATCTACATCAGAGCTCTTGGGTTATCCAGTGCATTGTCAATGAGCAATAATATTTTGGAAAGGAGTCATAGAGTGGATTTAGTATTATTCTTAAGGCTTCTTGGACGTTCAGAATGGTAAATGAGTGTTGCCTTCAACTTAAAAAAGTTGCCAGATGCATTAGCCCCTATCAAGGGTCAGCCTACCCTTTGAAGCTTTGAAATCAAGCAATGACATCTCCCTACCTATGAAAGTCCTGAATGGCATCTTTTTCCAATATAAGGCTATGTTGTCTAAATTATTGGTTAGTGTAGCTACCTTCATCAATTACCTTAGCCAGATCTAGATAACTTCCTGTAGTTTCTACATTGCCACTTGCAACCTCACCTGGCACTTTTATGTGGCGGAGACCACTTCTTAAACTTCATGAGTTTCTCTGGTAGCTTCAAACTTTTCTTTGGCAGCTTTTTCACCTCTCAGACTTCATAGAATTAAAGAGAGGTAAGACCTTGCTCTGGAATAAGTTTGGCTTATGAAAATGTGTGGCAACTTTGATCTTCTGTTCAGACTGCTAACACTTTCTCCAAATTAGTAAACAGCTTGTTTTGCTCTCTTAACATTCTTCTGTTCACTGGAGTAGCACTTTTAATTTCCTTCAAGAACTTTTCTTTGGCATTCATAACTTGCCTAACAGCTTGATGCAAAGTGGACTAGCTTTCTTAGTGTTTGACATGCCTTCCTCACAAAGCTTAATCATTACTAGCTTTTGATTTAAAATGAATTATTTGACTCTTCACTTGAACACTTAAGGCCATTACAAGTTATTGGCCTAATTTCAATATTGTATCTCAGAGTATGCAAGCCTGAAGAGAGGGAGATAGAGGAATGACTGTTGAAGCAGTCCACACATTTTTCAGTGAAGTTTACCATCTTACATAGGTGCAGTAGAAGTGCATCAAAACAATAATAGTAGCACCAAAGATCACTGATCACAGGTCATATCATAACAAACATAATAATAATGAAGAAGTTTTATCAAAATGTGACACAGACATATTAAGTTCAGTTGGAAAAATGGCACTAACAGGCTTGCTCAATGCAGGGTTGCCATAAACTGTAAAAAGTGATATCTGCCAAGTGAAGTAAAGCTAAGTGTGATAAAATGAGGTATGGCTGAATTACATCATTTTCACATTTTCTTAACATTTTACAAGCATGTATCTGTAAGCAACTAAGATCTTTTTCCAAATATACTTGCCTGCACACCAAATATATCTGCTATGAGAAAAGTTCTGTTGTTCCATGTCTTTATAGGCAGTTAAGTGGGAATAAGCAAAAGTAAAAAGATCAGAATTTGTACTTCACAGTTTTGTTTTTGTTTGAGTCTTTGGAAAAATATTCCAAAATTTAATTTCTGCCAGAAATTTTAGTTTGTGCAGGGATCTTCACAAAGAGGTTTCAGGGAGAAAAAAGACTCACCTTAATCCTACAATGTAGGAAGTGCACCCAATCTCCTCATTATCTTTCTTTTTATTCAGGATGAGGTGGGGTGAGCTCAAGAATCAAGAATCAATGGATTATTATTCATCATGTAAGACCATCAGCTTAATTATGATTTATGGGCATTAGAATTCCTTTGCAACAAGGAAATGAGAGTCTATAAAGGCTCATGATTACTTTAGTAAGAAGAGAAGAGGAAAAAGTACAAAAATAGTAATTTAAAATGCACTTCTCATAGCTGGCAGAGTGGCTTAAGTGGAAGAGTGCCTGCATAGCAATTGTGAGTTCAAACCCCAGTACTGCAAAAAAAACGAAAAAAGAAATGCACAATGCACTTTCCCTTGAGATCCAGAGACCAAAATGAGAAAGCACATGTAAACACTGACACTTTTATCAGTATCCAAGATATCTAATAGCTCAATCTTTACACCATGGATATAAAATTTAGCATCTCCAGATGACTGAGAGGATTGCACCATCTTTTTTTCCTATTGTATATTGTGTTGACTAATACAGAGTTTTATGACCAGTTAGCAATGTTTGTGAAGGTAATGGATCTAAATATAGATGTACTCTAGGGGATCTTGGTATTACTGGGGTATGGAGGGAGGAATTTCTTTGGTCTTGGACCAATTGCTGAGAAAGATGTTGCTGGAAGCCCATCCCAGAAGTTCTAGAGTTTCACCTGGCTGAGACTCATTGCAGAGACAGTTCTTTCTGGTAGCCCTAGAGTCTGAGCATCTCATCCATGATCCATATTTCACCTCCACCCTCAGCTTAGCATTTGCTCCTTGCTCTCTTTTATTACTGGTTTCTTAGCCTTACTGTCTGAAGTAGGGGCCTCCTGAACAAAGTCTTGATTTGACAACATAAAATATATTGCTCTTAAATATATGTTCAGGGCAAGCGTATATTCAAGAACCCCTTAAAGCCAGACTTGGCCTCAACAGATTTATCGCCAAGACTACATCCATCAAACCAACACTTCTCAAATCTTGAGGAAAGAAATAGCAAGCAATTTTGAGTTGAAAAGCTGTTTATTTTCTTTTACATGACAGATAAAACCTTGCCTTGATCCAATGATT